ATGCAGCTATTCTATCTTTCTATTCTATTGATAACTACATTCCATCTATTATATATAATAATAACTATTATTACTACCATTGTTATTTTTACTGTCGTGATTATTATTATTATTATTATTATTATTATTATTATTATTGTGTCATAATGGCTATGTCGAAGTAATCTGAGCAAGATATACGCATCCCAACTAAAACGTATCAAATTTCAATCAAACATTCAACAACAGAATAACTCAAATCACTACAAGTTAAATAAATACTACTACTAATAATAATAATAATAATTATTATTATTATTATTATTATTAGTATAGTTATAATAATTATAATAATAATAGTAATGATAATAACAATAATAGTAATAATAATAATAATAATAATAATAATAATTGTGAATATTTACTTTGTATATGTAGCTACTATTATTATTCTATCTTAACATATGTGTTATATTTCAGTATTGTAATTAGGGAGCTGTACAACTGACTGTCAATTATACACAATTGCTATATAAAAAATATAGATTTTAGTTCTTTTTGATGTTATTATTACTACGCCTCATAGATGCAATAAATCTATATTTTAGGGTTTTGTTCAGGTGATTATTTATTTAAATATTAGGAAGCTACACAAACAATATGTCTTTTAAAGTTATTAACTGTCTCAAAATACACTGTAATTAATACCCAGTTTATTAACCTTCTTACTATGAACTCTGTCGATTTTTCTGTTATACAGAAGAACTCTAATGACTTCGTTTAGAAACAATTTACTGGTCCAACTTCATAAATCGATACCTTCTCTTGTTTCAGCCTGTTGGTTTAGTTTCTGTATGTCAACCTCAGATTATTGTAATGGTCTAAATGACATATCTATGTGTGTATGTGTGTAAACTATAGCCAGCTTTACACAAGAATAGACAGAGAGAATTTGAAATAAAAATGTATGCATATATTTAAATTTTAAATGTAAAAAGTAAATAAGGATTCCTTCAAATATAACTTTTTTAAGTACGTTGCTTAATTAAAATAACAACTTTTGATATTTACTATGTTTCTAGGTAACTGGAATACAACAGAATTTACTTGAAGTAACAATTGGATACTTTCATTTCAGTATCTCATAAATGTTCACTCAAACAAGCACGAAAACTTCACTGAACCCTTTTATTTTATAGCATAAAAATTCAGTGACTGTAATGCCTAAAATTTGAAGAAATATTTTACCTTAAGAAAAAGGAAGGTTTTAGATTTACTAAAGCCAGTCGGACCAGCGATCAGTTTAACGAGTTTACACAATGGTCAATGAACTTCAATCAAGGCCTTAACGCTTATAGGAATTCGAGCCCTATCTAACCAGATGACTAGTAAGAAGATAATGATAACAGGGGGATTATATGTGTATTATTAGAATGGGGGTTTATGGAGATTTTAGTAATTTCCAATAGTTGAATTCATGAGTCGATTTATGCTAGACCACCATTAAAAACCTGGAAGCCCTGGAATGCCGTTTCGTCCCAATATGGGGACCCTCAGCAGTGAGCACCCACGGTCCGGCGTGTGGGACTCGGACCCAGGATAGAAACTTAGTTTAATGATATCAAACTAAATCATCTTTGATACTTCGTCTTATGTGAGTTGCTCTTGTTAATGCTCGATGTTATTTTCCTCATCCTTTTGGCATAAACCCAACCCTACATAGAAAACACCCCATGACTTTCATGTTTTGTAGTATGTATAATAGCACTGATAAAATGAGCCAGTACTCAATAGTTCGAACATACTTACATCAAAACATTTTGACATTCACTTCGAAATCATTACGTCATATTTTTGTGAAACAATTTATATCCACAACAAACTATGGATATCGTCAGTGTAATAAACACTTTTAAACAAAACCATTCAATTCGTTTGTAGTGATAATGAAGAAAATTGAAATTACCGCCTTTTTAATCCATACAAAATACAGCGATTTCTTTTCTCAGTTTTTCAACTACTAGATTACACGTATATAAACTGAAATAATTTGCTCATTCATTCAAAAATGTACAAAATCACACCCAGTTCTAGAAGTACTCAATATCAAGCTATGATGAATGAATTTAATCTGGAATATAATGATTGGATAATATGTACATTGAATAAAAGAATATTGATTATAGGTTTAGAAAGCAATAAGTGATATCATAATTTTAGTAAAGATAATTTAATTTCCGAAAACCAATTAGATTACCATCCTACTAATTATTGTTTTATAAACTTGAATCAAACCTTTTTCGTTTCTTACCAAAATTTCAAACTTTACTTTGTACTCACATTTTATATTTTTGATGTTGTATAGTAGGCTTTTAGAATATTTGTAACATTAGCAACACAGTAAGATAGATAGGATGTTTGATTTGAAATTATTGATTAGTTGGATCAATACGTTTAATTGGGCAGTTGTAGTTAGATAGAAGCTAATATATGTTTTGGATTGAACGCTACTTTGTTATATACTGGTCGTCTCTGATTATGTCAGAATCACTTATCACTTATACTTTTAAAACGAGGAACAACTGCAATTCCCATAGTGCGAAAGTAAGAATACAAAGATTCATACAAGTGAAGATTCATTACTTGTGAAAATTATATTTGAAATAGTTGAAATTTAAAATAATTCCAACGTTTCGTCCAGTAAACGTGTGTGGACTTCTTCAGGGTAATAATGCAAATCATCAAGTAAATATATAGCGTTTAACAATCAAATCAAATCTAGTCTTTGTTATCCAATCGTATCTGGATGTCGACTTCAGTAAATAAGATAAAATGAGACAGTTAGACGCGAGTCATGTGAAAAATTCACGATGTGAAAATAAATGACTGAACGAATTGTGTGTGTGCATGAATGTGTAAAATTTAGTTATCAGTAGTTGATAATAGGTATTAATATGTCTATATATGACGAAAAATAAAATAAAAGTACATGTTGAAGGTTGAAAAATTGTGTTCTGAATCATTTATGTGCAGATTTACTAACCCCAAAGCACGACGACGACCCTAGTCGAAAATACACTCATTTATATATTGATTTGTACATCTATTTTGATTAATAATTAGGATGAAATCACATACATGAAAAATACCCTGAATTACAACAAATCATATACTGCATGTCATGTTAAGTAAATCAATCTAATTTTGACTTTTCTTCTCGTTGTATCAGAAGTTAACTGAGCTGAGTATATACGCTCATCTCATCGGGAGATTTACTCGAATGTCAATTTCAGTCAACTGATTGAGTTGTTCATTACATATTGTTTATTATTTGTCTATTTACCGTAATTTAAACATTTGACCCACTCCGTAAAATTAGATGAGTTCGATTGAACATTTATCTGCATATCAATCTTTATCTATTCTCTTATTGGTTGTAAACACAGACAATTAATAATTTATCTAAAATCGATTAACACTTATAATTATATATGGATTTTTCTAAAACTTACTCTAGCTTCCCTGCATGCCTGCGGATTTTATCAATTATTAACAATAAACTATCACTACAACTGGTGTTCTGGTTATAATCTCGAGCAAATCCATAATACTACTAGATTTAGCTTGCGTAAATACTCAGTCAACAGGATTTTATTTATTGGAGTCAGCTATAGAGGAAATTAGCCTCTACATTTGTCTTAATGATATTTTTGTTGTCCTTATACTAATATTGTTAAATGCATTTAAAGACAGTATGCATTAGCTTGATTGTGTCTGTTCCGATAATCTTACTGAATATACTACTTTTAAAGTGGCTTTATTATCAAGACGTTTTTTAGTTAAATTAGGTAACTAATATATTGATCGCCAATTGTTCATCTTAGTGTGAAAACTGAAATAGCATCAAACAATTCATCATATGCTTCTTACCAACATTCTGCTTACAACTTCAATCTATAATAAGTTAAAAATATCGACTACTGCTTGTGGTTTTCAGCGTTTTAAACCGACTAAAATTGCTTACGTACTGTTCGAAATTCGTAATATTGTCATAATCATTCCTTGTTTATAGTTAAATTTATATAGAGCACAATGGAAACATTATATTCTCTGAAAAATCACCTACTAAGTGACTAAATTTGTAGTTCTGTCACAATCAATAACAGTCACCTACAAAATTGAAGCTTGTGTTCCTGTGATAAAGTATAACACTAGATAATCAGCGAAAATGATAAAATTTCATATAATGTTTTTAATTGATCGCCCATTTATTATATTATTGACTTTTGATGTCTCGTTTTATTACAATACATATTTGTAAAAAAAATGTCATAAGTTGATATTAGGCGGGATACTGTTTTAAACTATCTGGAAATTTAAAGCAATCAGTCCCTTTGATAAATTTCGATAATGTAATAAGAATTAAATTAATCTTCATAAAAACCTATCAATCAACACATGATATTGCCGAAGTCACCAAGACCTTCTTAAGATACCTTCCTCAAGTTTGAGTAGGAAGTAAACTTCCATTAAATCATAAATGAGGAAGTAATTATTGATAGCATTGGATGATCATTGAATTATATCACGAATGAATCGAAGTAAGTATTTACCGTTATATTTCAACTGAGTGATCTATAAGTCAGAGGCTATGAGGCCTAACAGCTTTGCATTTTATTGACGGATGAGTAGTAGGTATATGCTATCAATTGGTCATCAACTAGAACAAAAATGTCCAAATGGTAACATGATTAATGTCATTTCATGACTAATCGCACCTATAAATCAAACATTGAACGATGTTTAGAAATGTTATGTTGCTTCATTTAGTCTTCCATTCATTTAAAACGAAAATTACTGCCAAGGTCCCTCGTTTTGAGCATGTGATAAGCGTTTCCGATACAACAATCAGCAACGACCAGATATAACAAGTAGCATTCAAATGTCAAATGATAACAATGGGCGACGGCGATGGGATTCATACCCACACGGGGAAACCCCAATGGTTTAGCAATCCATTGCCTTAACCACTCGACTTCTTTCCATGATATCAGCTACCATATTCATTTGTACTCCATAAAGCTAAAATAAAATGAAAATATTGCTTATAATACTCATTTGATTCATGATATAGTTTTGAATAGACATAGATATATGTAAAGTCTCATAAATAAGTTGCTTCAATTATTTATGAATAAACTATTTCATTTAAATAATTTATTCCACATTAACATAATACAATTCATCAATGTCACTATCAAAGACACATATAATACAAAATACTTTTAAAGTTAGATTTAAAAAAACGGTTTAAATCTAGGAATCTAATGAAAAACTGATTGCAATCAATAGGGAAAAAAATACGTAGATCACAGATTTTACACTTAAGTAACAAGCAGTTTATTTCAATGCAACAATAAAGATTGTGAAGAGTGGATAAAAACAATAGCAACAACAACAACAAAAGTGTAAAATATACATTCCTGAGTAGTTAAGTCTCAATACAACTATACCAAATAAAAGAAAAAATGTTAGCAATCATGCAAACATATCCCAAAATATAAATGAAATCAACAAAAACGAGTTTCATGTTTATCTAAGAAATCATATCAAAATACTTTTCCAATTCGAATAAATACTTCACATTCAATAAAGATTAATAATAGTAATAAGATAATTGTAGTCAACACGAAAATCTTTCGCCAATATTTAAATTTAAATAACATAGTCGTACAATAAAAAGTAAACTTTATTCCTATAAATATAGTAATTAATAAACAATAAATAAAAATCGTAAAATAACGATTATGTAATGGTAATACAGTATAAATGATAGATTTATTTTTATATAATTGTAATAAACCTATACCAGTTATTTGAGGATAACCTGAACGATATGTACATGATGGTACACCAATAGAAATTAATTCACCATATACTTTGAATTGACTTTTAAGTGTATATTGTTCTTTAATTTCTAATAATTTTAAATTATCATTTAATTTAAAGTTTAATGGTTTTGATGATATACTTGATAATTGTGGAGTTTGAATCCATGAAACAATTGATTGTGCATTATCAGAATTCTTAGTATTTTTCCAATGAATAATTTGACTCTGAATAAGATAAATAAAGAAAATATTAGTAATTTCATTAAATATATAAGTAATTCTAAAATTAATTTTATATAACGAGTTAATATTGTATAATCATCCACTATCATGTATCTAACTCCTAACTCAGATTTATTTCAAATCTTAAGCTTACTTGGAAACCAAAAAAAATTTGTTTTTTCTTTTTCATTTTGACGTAGAACTAAATACATTTGTTGATGTTTTGATGTTTCACTGTATTTTCCCTCATTGTTATTGATGAATAATCTTTTCATAAGAAAATAGAGTAATTTCTATGCCCTTAATTGTTATTACTAATTACTGATGTCTATTTTAAACTTTCTGTGTGAAGTATATTTTATCAAGGTTTAATTAAAAACTAACGAGTGTTAAACAGTTTGAACCTCCTTGATGGTATATAAATATATAATTCTATTGATTATCAAATATAATATAACGAGTATGATAAATACAGATTACTAGACTGAAATAAAATAGTTCACAATTTTGACTTCAACTGCCTTGTCTTTTAGCATAACACATTGCTGAATAGTTACGGAGGAAAAATCTGTTTGATGGTCACTAGTTTTCAACGGTCTTGAAAATCTTATCAATTTGTGATTTGAAATTTATGCTCAGAATATAGTAAAATATCAACAGGATCAAAACATCAAATAAATCTTCATTTGTCGTAATAAAAAAGCACTGGCCTGTTATGACCTTGATTTGTCTACCCACTTTTTGGTGCCGAGGATACTTGTCTAGTCTAGATTAAGACCTTGATGCGATAGGCTGATTGGCTTAACCTTGAGACTTGTACGCGTGAGTTCGAGATGGGGTAGAGAGAAAACTATTCTGTCACCTGATTGGTGGGCAAGCACACGAATGGGAGAAGACAAGACTACTGGAACACTACTCGGCCTATTTCCAGACCACTGAACACACTGGATTCACTGAATTCAGATTAGTGTAAAAAGGTACATGAATAAATAAGTGAATAACCCGACCGCAACGTACAATAATTAGGAAAAATACAATTATGTCCAAAGCTGGGAATTAGAGTAGAAAATAGGGTGCAAAATAATATGTTTAAATTACAATAGCTTCGGAACAGAAAAAGGTATGGCAGTGAATGATACATCGAACGAAAGCTTATGTTCTGTAGAATAGATTAGGGACAAAAATAAATGTCAGTGTTTTACAAGCTTTGAATAAAATGAAATAACGTCCCGAAAAATAGCTTTCGTAGTTTGTCAGGAATTCTTGTTTTCCGGTTCACATCATGGCCTCAGTTTGTATGTTTTTCAAGTATAAAAATATGATAAGAAAACATCAAAAATATGACTATAATCCTTTACTAAAAATATACACAACGGATTGTATAGTTGTCTACGCAAGATACTCAACATCGATTGGCCGGATACCATCAGTAACAGCCTTCTGTGGGAGAGAATAAACCAGCTTCTAGATGAAGAGGAAATTATGAAAAGACGATGTAAAATGAATAGGACATACATTACGCAAATCATCAAACTGCATCACGGGGCAAGCCCTAACTTGAAATCCCGCTTCCTGAAAGGAAGCGGATGAGAGGAAGGTCAAAGAATACTTTACGTCGGGAAATAGAAGCAGATATGAAGAAGATGAATAACAACTGGAAAGAGCTGGAAATGATCGCCCAGGACAGCGTTGGATGGAGAATATTGGTGAGCTGCCTATCCTCCTTCACGAGGAGTAACAGGCGTAAGTCAGATTGTATGGTGCATTTAGTTAATAAAATACATGTAATTGTTCCACTCCTCAGAGATATGTTTCTATGGCTTATCAATTGTTAATTTACATAAAATGAACGATAAGTCACTTTCATAGTTAGAAAAGTTCAAATTGGTAGATATTTAAACTACGATTACATTGATCAAGTAAATTTCACTAACAATATTATTTTCTACATGATCTGATTCGTATAACATGTATAGATAGTGTTTAGTGTACTGTCATATGTACTAATTAATTTTCAGTAGTTTGTTAACTGGTTCATCTATGAATAGCCGAAAAATTATCTTGGATGCATCTATAATGGGTAAAATTTATATAAATAAATTCAAATTTTCAAGGTTCATATAGTCTTGTTGCCAATACATTTACTGTTCACTGAAATATATTTTGAGCGCAGATGAAGCTTTATATTTCCTTTTAATATTAGAAATTATGACATAATCCATATATATATACTCATGTAGCAATTAATATTTCGAACATATGCCTGACGGTGATAAAGTTTTTAAATACTTAAGATGAATTCTTTGTAAAAACAAGCAGAATCAAGAAAATACTTTTTACTCATTTAATCATGAAGCAATAATGATCTCGAATTACAGTTTATTTCAAAGCAAATAGTATTCTGCTTCATTATATAACGATAGTTTCATATATTATTAAGCATTTTTACTAATAAATTAGATAAATAATATTCACATTTAAATATACTACAATAGGAACACATATATTGATTCCCATTTTTTTGTAAAGTATGAATTAAATTAACTATTCATAAAATTTAAGAGAAAAAACGTTAACATTCATCAATCGCTAACCATAACACAAATGGGAACAAGAAAGATTAAGTTTACAAAATTTAAGCGATCACAACAGTTTTTGAATTAGTTAACATAATTGATTCGTTATTATTTGTCGATGTTTTTACTCTATGATTAAATGACTAAACATTATTTTTCAATTGTTTGTTTTAAAATGAACTGAAGAGCATCAAAGCCCAAAGCCGAGGATGTCAAAACATTAACTAGTAGTCTCATTGCAATTCTGTCGGTCGAATCCTACTACCACCAAATGACTAGAGAAATATTATCGTCAATTTCACTGAATATTATTATACATTATTAAAAATATACAATTAGTAGCTGACTCACAATATATACTATAATTAAATGTTAGACGGAGTAACTCACTCTGTGAAGATGACCATGAATACTCAAAGAGGCATTTGCTTTAAGTAAATTCAAAGGGAACTGGACATATTCCTGAGAGATAACTGGAAAATGACTGACATATATATTAATTTCATCAGAATTTTCATCTGAAATTTTAGATCTGATTTCAGGCTTCCTATAATCCTTTAAAAAAATTGTTAGAAATCACGATAGTTACTGAATAGACATTGACAAATTTATATTTGTAATTTCCATATTTAACAGGTAGATTAGCAAAGAAACGGGTTAACGTTTTTTGTGTAATAAGATTTCCTTCACCGCCGATATCATTATCTCCAGGACTTAAAATGACCTACAACAAAATGAGTTCAATGAAAATTTACATACAAATAAATCATTCTCAGAAAGAAATATCTTTCGAAAACGTGATGTAGCATGTATGAAATCTGAATCTAATGATGTGTCTCCTGTATCCAGGAGATCTCCCAAAAACATAACACCATTAGGATTTGTTCGTTGTACAGCTTTTACGAAATAAAATCGAAGATAACTAGTATAGTATTTTCAGTAACTTGCAATTTACTTATCACTGTCAGCCTGTAGTATTTCATTGAGAATCCAGAGATTCGAATGATAGCCTTCAATATGGGAATCGGCTATGAGCAGAATCCTCACTTCATCTTCACTTGGTCTAAAATTATGAGAATATACTGTTTAGTAACCAACTTGGTATGAGGCAGTGTCCATGCGTTCAATGAAATATACGGATGTATGATTTCACCATAGATTAAACAAATTATTATAACACAGAATTGTAGTACAGGGTATCGAAAATATCGTAAACTTTTGATCTTCATCCCATAACAAGTGAGAAGTTTGTATTTTTAACCTCTAGTTGATTAGTTTGAAAATTAGAAAATAAAACAAATGTTACAATGTGATTGGATTACTGGAAAAGTGATTTTTGTATGGCTATTCCCAACGAGCCAATCAGATTTCTAAGCTAAGATTGCTAAAGGTGAACGTTAGATTTCACCACTAAAAAACGTCGTTCATTGTTTAGGATGTGAGGGTTTATCATAAGAAGTTAACTTTCTATAATACCTATTATTATTATTATTAGATGGGAAACAGTATATAATAGTAATAATAATATATTCTGAAAATAATAATTACAGAATTCATGCCAGTTAACAGAAGTGATTAGCTTGACATAGATAGTAATATTAAATGTAGAGGACAGATAAATAATATTAATCAAAATCAAAATCATCAAAGAAATATATAGCTTTTAACAATCATAACTGTACTTTGTTAAACCAATCAAATTTTTTGGATGTTGATTTTTGTAACATAGGATATAATGAGTCAGTTAACAGCAATTCGTGTGAAAAATTCAACTACATGGTAATAATTATCTGTAATAAAATCAAAAGTATAAATGTGTGTATATGTGAGTGCGTAATATGTATGCATGTGTGAGATTAATTATTGATATTCTGTGTTATTATGTTATGTATGGAAGGATAAGTAAATAAATAAATAAAAGTGCAATTTCAAGGTTGATTAATTGCGAATGAATCGTCGATGTACTTGTCAATATTTAAGAATCCAACATATACATAATTGCATTGCTAAAGCCTCATTGAATTCATTCAGTGATAACGATGCATTTGAAATAAACAGTTTGAAACTTAAAAGATAGGGTTCAAATTACTTGTTAAACGATATTTGCCATGTATTCACCAGTTGAATACCATCTTTTCGGTTCAGGCTGTTCTTGTTCGCCCAAATATACAGCGCTTCTGCTGTCAATCTTTCTTTATGTGTGTTGAAACCTTTCTGAAGTATTTTGGCCCCTTCAAAATTGATCTTGTGACCTGTTTCTAACGCATGTAACGCTATCGCCGACTTATTCTCTAGCTTCTTCAAATCAACCGAGGATTTGGGAAAATTTTTCAAACATTGTTTGTGTTCCTTCAACCTTACATTAAATTGTCTGGATGTTTCTCTAACATAGGCTGCATTACAGTCATGACAGTTGATCTCATTCCTTTGGTAACCTGTCTTTGACTTTCACTAATGTCGATCTTAAGGTGTTAGTCGCCCTAAAATACACTCGTATATCATGTTTGTTAAGGATCCTTTTTATTTCTTCTCATGTTTCACTACGGTATGGTATGACTACTGTGTACTTCCAATCTTTTCGTATACCTTCTAGTTTAGTTTTTCTCTCATTTTTAATAATCTTCTTTAAAAACTCTTTTGGGTAGTTGTTATCCCTAATAGTAGAGAATACTTTATTTAATTCAGTTCGTTGATCTTCCTTATCTGTAACAAGCTTAGTACTTCTGTTCATTAAATTTTTTACAACGTTAATTTTCGTGCATTGTGCATGTGCTGATTCAAAATCTAAATATCTCTCCGAGTGTGTTGGTTTTCTGTAGACATTTATTTTCAACTTTTTATTATTGTATCACTACAGACCGCGGACGAAAGTTCGAATCTGGACTTTTCCGTTGTCTTACACCGTCTACCACCCGAAAGCAAATGGGTTGGTAGGACGATTTCACCAACAGGCGAAAGCTTCACAGTGGACTGACACTCTCATTATTTGGCATTTGCGGTGGGGTGAAAGTTAATGTTGAACACACAAGAATACCATTCGTTTACGGAACGATACTCTGACTACTAGGAGAACTTGTGGATTCTTCATCTTCTTCATTGAATATGGAACTAAACTCTCACAAGAGCAAGCTTGCAAAAGCCATACACTCACTTCAACCTATTTCCACTCGACCACAGTCAATCTATGTTTTCGTTCACCCTTCATCATGAGGTATTACATGCAGTCTTGTACACTACGGTTCATTAAGACAAACCATCGAAATGGCATACGAAGTACCCTTTTAATTCCCACATCACAAACCTAAGTACTTTGCCATCGACGAAAGCGGTACTAACTATAGCGTCAGTATTAGCCGTCTTAAAGCCCCTCATATGGAGGTAAATTATAGTTTCTTCAGACATTTACAGTAATATTTTATGAGCCGAATTGTTGTAACATCTATCTGTTAGTAAATTTGTATCAAGCTTAACAGTATATTGTCTGTCAAGTGAAAAGAAAACCTGCTTGGGAATATTCACGAGCTAAGAACTTAGACTCACCGGGCACACCTAATTCACAGTAATAATATCGATGATGAAAATTGAGGTCAATTAACAATATTCATGCTTACGTTCTTAACAACTGAGGAAGGGAGAAGAAAAACGGACGAAGTGATATATTCCGTGTTTTACTGCATACATTTCATTGGGGCTCGCAAGCGAAAAGGGCAGTTAAGATCATTATATTACTAAACAAACAACTATTATTGAAGTGTTTAGATTGCAAGTTATTTAAACTGTTTATTCACCACAGTAATGTTTCTTCATTTGTAGTGCTCCCCATATCTTTATTTCAGTTGAGCTAACAGGAGGTTTTACTTTAGTTTTTCATTTGTTCAAAACGTATTCAGTTTTAACAATACTGCGTTGGAGTTTTACAAATTTCCAATACTTTCTGAGGAATTGGACATGATGCAGAAAAATACCAAAGAAGTCTAATAAATAAGAACTTTCGTCTAAATTTAAACGATTAGTTTCACAATATTTGGGCGCCGAGTTAATGTGAGTCATTGAAGATGAAAAATGTATTTGTAAAATCTCAGCGAAAGAATTTGAAATCCAACGTTTCGCCTGGCAATCTGGTCCAAGCTTTTTCAAGGAAAATATAATCAAACAACAAAATTATCGAATATAAATAGGTACATGGTTCTCTGGTTTACTGTATACTGAATACGACATTCGATCAACGTGAACACTGTTTGAAGTCACCCTGTATGAACTTCCAAAGTCACTTTTCAACACTTACCAAAGTAAGGACAATTTGCATCAGCATAGACACCGTGTACGAAAGTCAGTCAGTTCGACCAGCAGAAGATTCGGAGACTGTGGACCACAATTCTAGCAGAGAATACGAAGTAAAAGTCAGTGGGATATAGAAAGAATACAAAAAGCTCTGATTTACAGCCAAAGAATAAGTTTCTCTAAGTTTTGTTTTAAAGCTGACGTCCGATCACTGAAAAATTGACTGTATGTTGTCAAACCCAAGAAAGAGAAAATTCAGATGTATTAGGTCGATTAACGATGAATTAGATCTTTCTAAGAGGTACTTAATAAATGAATCAATTCAGCAGTTAAAAGTAATCCCCTTCAAGAAGTTTTTTAATCGAGAATTTCAAAGACAACCTGAATGGAAAACATAAACGTAGTTACTTGGCACGATCTCATATAGGAAGGGCAATCTATACCCTAGAATGGGGTTTGTTTCCATAGAGACCTGTTCTTTTATGATGGTTCAAATCGTAATAAGCTAACAAACAACTCAATGGCTTGAAGCTGTCTCGAAATGCTGTACAATGGTGAGTCCCCATATAGTGAGACTTCGGAAGTAGAAGATACGGAAGTCGCTCTTCAGACACATCTGGTTTTCATAATTCAGTGAAGCGCGCAAAAGGTTAACCACATTTAGATATCTGGATAGCTCCCGGCGTTCACCGTTCGGTCACAGTTAAAATAGGTGTAGTTGGATTCATAAGGAGGTGATAGTGAACTCGCACCAGATGACTCTCGGATATCAAGAGCTGACAGAACTGTAAAAAAAGGAACTAGTGGTTATGATTGGAAGAAGTATTAGAGTTGAATTCGATAAACGAACGGGTAGTTCAATGTGTTTCTAATGGGTCAGATGGTAGGTTGGACAGAAAACAGTTAGCATACTTGAAGGTATCGTGTTGGAAACCCGAATTGAAGGTGCCATAACGTACAAAGCAAATACGTGATAGAATATGCATTACAAATGGTTCTTGAAGAAAAGCGGTGGATTTCTAAGTTGAGAGACTCCGCCGACGGCTGAAATGTATGGAAACAGACCTATCAAACTGTTTGTTCTCTTTTTGGCGGACAAATCTAACAAAAATACCAAAATATTTACGAATTTGTTGAATAAGATGTAGGGTTACTTAATAATAAACGAAGTCATAAATACACAGAAAAACCGTCCGAACGTTATTTTTACTTATGGGTAAAGTGTTTTTCATTTGATCACCAGATCTACAACGACAATTGGTAGTCAATAATTACAGACACTGTATATAATACAAAGTATAGTATCTGATATAATCATTTTATAATGAAACGAACGTAATCTGTAAATATTTTCACATATATGATCTGTCACTTTAAACATTAACTAATTGAAAACAAGGAGTGTATAAGCGGAAGTTTATTCGCGAACAAACATCAGTATGTCACGGATGCCTCAAACAGAAAAGATACCTTGAAAGTAAGGGCGAAACCTGAACAAAAGTTTTACAGTCAGTAATGACTGCACAAATCAAATAGAATGACGAAAAATGTAAGTAATTTCGAAATTTATTTATTAAAAAAATCTGCTTAGCCATTTTGCAACTGACTCGTATACACCATCAACCAGTATATATGTATATAAATAATTGGTCTATCGTAAATCAGAGCATTATGGCTAGAGAATGTCTTTCCCGGATGCACTGACGTCCAATGAATTGCTGTCAACTATCTGTCCGAAGTTCATATATTTGTCAATGTTTTCAAGTATTGAATGAATTTTTGGTAACAGTTCATATGTATTGGTAGTGTAGATCACCAGCGTAGATGATCTATTTCGAAATGATTGGAGGCTTACTCGAGTTAGACGGGAATAGTGTGACGAACTAGCTAATGTGGCGAAATCACACCTCGTGATCAGCACCATACATAGACTACCCCATCGACGTATCAAGGTACTATAGATGCTTTGAAGACTGTACAACATA